GTATAGCGCTGATACATGCATCTGCTACTATACTGCCTTTGCTGCAACCAACCAATTGGACTGCTTACACAAATTCAAAACCAAATATTTTTAAACTTGTTTAACATACATATGAACATTCAAAAAACCAGCTGCTGAAATTAGAAAACTTCACGTTTTTTTCGACATGTTCTTCTGTTTTGATAGCTAGAAACAATACATTGTTTATCGTCCTTAAAAAAAAATAAAAATTAAAATTGAAAAAAAAAACTTTAAAAAAATTTTAAATTTAAAAATGAAAAACAAAAATATTTAACTTTTAGAAAATACCAATACTACCAATGTAGTCTCTCGTTTTCTTCTTGTTCTTCTTTGTATACCAATAGTTTAACTGGCGATGGAGTTCTAACTTCAAAGAGGCAATCACTGAGTAATAATCGCATTTTACTTACCGTTACAATAACAAATTTCTTGTATGACACTATTTTTTCTAACACTATAGCGCTACTTTTTAAGCTTAAATGAAAAATTTTAAACTATTAAGCGTTGCATTTTTATTAATGGCAAAATAAAATTGGAAAAAAATCTAAATAAAAAATTAACAAAAAAAAAATTGGTACAAAATTTAAAAAACAAAATTAAAAAATTAATTAATTTTTTTTCTAATTATAAAAAATTTTAAACAAAGCATTTTAACTAAAATCCAGCAACAAATTCCACAATTTGAAAAAGTGTTTAACGCATTCAAACTTGAAATTAAATAGAAAATTTACTTTATACTAAATAATAATCAATAAATAATTTAAATTAATAATACCTGCTACATAAATACATATAAATAGGTTGATGTTACAATAATGTAAAATAATGTTGTTTTCTTTAAAACAAAAACAAAAAAGAGCTTGTTAATCATACATATTTAATTTTCACTTATGTCTGCTTTTCCAGTACATTATTACTATAAATATTTATATATTAATTTTTTTCTTTTTTGATTTCTCAATTTGCAAATCTTGTGCAAAAACTTGAATTTTACAAATTTTATTTTTTTTTAACTTTAAACTGTATGTTTAGCTTCACGAATAACTATTTTTTTAATTAAAATTTTGTGTAATTACAATTTTTTTCTTTACACTTTGTTGTATATGTTCTCCAAACCCCTCCCCCCCACCCCCTCTTTTCACTGGGCGCATCTTACTTTTCGCATTGTTGTATAAAAATCCAAAATCGTGCATTTTTTAATTAATTTTCAATTATAAAAAAATAATGCATTTTTTACCACTTTCGTTATTGTAAATTTTTTTTAAATATGTTTTTCTCGAAATTTCACATTAATGAAACATCATCATATGTAATCGAATCATCACATACATACATACTGTGGTAGTGTAAAAATAAATTTGATATTATTCATGATTCGCCACCTCTCACACTCTCTATCTCTGTCTCTCACCCTCTTTGTCTCTCTCATTGCATCCAACCATTTCTACAACTTCAATGTGTGATCATTTATGATTTATGTACATATATGCATACATATGTATGTGTATGTATGTACATAAATATTCGTCAATCATTTTCGTATATGTATATACACCTGGTACATAGCTTATAGACACTTGTACATATATAAGCGCATATGTACGGAAAAGTGCACCTGAATGTCAGTCAAAACACAAGGACTTGTGTTGCCCTACAATTTTCATACATACATATTTATAGAATATTATATTTCACGCTCAACGATGACATTTGGTTGAATTTGAAGAACCAAAGTTTTTTTATAAAAATTTGAAATTGAAAAAAAAAAATTAAATCAATGAACGGAACTTAAAACGTTTAGAGAAAAATTTACGAAAAATAGTGGTTGTAGAAAAAACTGAAAATTAAAAGGTGAAATGAAAATCTACGAAAAAAATTTAAGAACTAAAAAAAATTAAATAATCCAGATATTAATAATTTTAAAATTTTTGAAAAATGAAATATTTTATTAAAATCTAAACCTAAAGATTAAAAACAGTAAAAATTAAAAATAAATCATTTGTTGAAAAATTCAGACAAAAATTACTTGTTTTTTTTTCAATTTTGCTTTTATTGAAATTAAAAATTACAGTCAAAAAGCAAAATATGTATATATATTTAATTAAAGTCTCCAAATTTAGAAAAACTTCGAATTTTTAATTTGAAATTTAAGAAAGAATAAAAATATAGCACATATTTGGATATCGCTTTTTTGGAAATTTTTTATATTAAAAATTACAGTAATAAAACAAAAACAATAACTCACAACGTTCTAGAAAAATTTCGAAATATATTCATTTTAAAATAATAATAAAATTAAAAAAAAAATCTGGAAAAAAAAAATTAATATTAACCTAATTAATTTTGAAAATCTTATGATAGAAAAATTTAAAAAAAAAATGTAAAAAAATTAATTGGTATTAAAAAATTAGGACATTTAAAGTTTATCAAAAAAAAAAAATATTTTATTAAATTTAACAATTGTATAGAACGATAAAAAAATGAGTAATGACATTCAGAGGTACAAATTGAAAATTTAAGAAATACTTCTAATTTTTAGTAAAAATTCGAAAAACATGCAGCAATTAGAAATTATTATGAAAATTTAGAAAACGTTTAAACATTTCAAAAAGTTAATTGAAAATTCTTTAGTACAGAAAATTTGAAAACTTTCACAGAAATTTAATTCAATAAAAATTTTTTTCAAAATTTTACAGAAATTTTAAGAGAATTTAGAAAAAATTTTAGTCATTATTAATATGTCAAGCATTGTTACATACATACATATGTACATACATACATCTATGAATGCATGTAAGTGTATGAATTTCGAAAATTTTTACCAAGCGAGGAGAATACATCAACTCAAAAATTTAGATAACATAATCATCGATAATAATATTAATACATAAATAATTTTTTTTTTTTAATTTCAAAAGCCGCACATACTTAACAATCAAAAAATATTACTAGAAGTTTGCGACTTTTTTTGTATAAAGCATAAATTTGAAATTTTAAATAAAATAAATTAAAGAACTTTAAAGTTTAGAGAATTTTTTATGTTACTAAATTTCAAAATTTTCAAAAATTTAACAAAACTTTGAAATTCTTAGAATATTTTGAAAATGCAAGAAAAATAAGAATTTTAAAACTTTGGAAAAAATGTATTCTTAATGATAAAATAAAAATAAGAATAAATTTTTTAAAACAAGCAAAATTTTGAAAATTAAGGGAAATTTTAAAAACCAAGGAAAATTTTGAAAATTAAAAAATTTTTTAAAAACTAATGCAAATTTTTAAAAATCAAGAAAAATTTTAAATTAATTAATTAATTTAAATTTATTAAAAATTTTTAGTAAAATTATAGAATATTTTGAAAATATAAGAATAATAAAAATTCGAAACCTTTAACAAAACTTTATTATGAATTTTGAAAATTAAAAAAAAAAATTCTTAAAAACATTTTTTAAAACCTCATATTAAATAAGTCATTGGAGTACTACCAAGCAGGGATCTGCATATAAAAATATATGAAAAAAAATCAGCTTTACAGTTATAAAAGTGGGCTGTGAACAAACTAAAATCTAAATGAAATAAATATGCCAATCGGTGAAGTATTCTTAGGACGACAGTGTGTGTGTGTGTGGCGCGACGTCACTTTTCACTTCCGGCTGTCAGCTGTTTAGGAATGTTTTTTTGTTTTTTTTTTTTTGTTCAAATCAATACATAAACGTACTTACTACAAACCTTTCCATTCACTTATCCTGGTGTTGGTTGTTGTTGTTTTTTCTTGTCAACTACTCAAACCACCAAAAATAGTACAGCAGTCCATTACCGAATTGGTAGTGTAAGGTATTTTTTTTAATTGTTTTTCTAATTTTTTTTTTTAAATTATTCTAATTTTTTCTTCAGTTTTTATATTTTCTTTATAATTTTTTTTTATTTTTTTATTATATTTTTTTTTTTTTAAATTGGCTTGCATGTGAAAATTAACTGCTTTAAACGCTTCATATGCTTCTTTTTTATATGACCGTTAGCTGTTTGTTTGAATGTATTTTGAATTAATCTCATGGTGCATTTTGCATGTCTACATATATATATTCATATATACATATTATTATTTAATTATAGCGCTATACACTGCCTTATTTGAATGCTGATTACTAGAATACTTATAAACTCATATATATGTATTACATACATGTGTACATATTTTCTTAAAACATAATATATTTATATGTAAATAAATATGTATATATATCTTTATTCAAACTCAAAAAATTTTCATTGAATGCATCAAAATTATGTATATTTATTGGGTTGTACGATAAATGATGCCGTTTTTTGAGAAAAATTTTGAAAAGTTTAGAAAAATCTAAATTCGTAACGAAATTAAATATAACTTAAAAAAAACCATTTTAGAAAAATTTCGCTGGTACTTATTTTAAAACTTAGAAAAAAATTTCAAAAATCTATTAACAGCAATAAAAGAAATAAAAAAAATAAAAAACTGAATTAAAATTCTTTTATAAAAATTAAAATTACAGTAAAAAAGAAAATCATGAATATTACGAAAATAGTTCTTAAAAATTTCGAAAAATTTTAATTTTTTATTGAGATTACAATTACAATAAAAAACAAAAATCACGTTTAGAAAAAAACGTTTTGGAAACCTTTTAAATTTTAATATTTTTTGTTAAAGTTTCAGGAAAAATTACGTTTGAAAATAGAATTAATATTGAAAAAAAAAACTAATTTTGAGAAATAGAAAGCTTGAGAAAAATCGACGTTTTATTAAATATTAAAATATATAAAAAAAACCGAAATAACCACAACCCAATTCACTATACAATATATACTTTTTTTGCATGCTTGTTAACTGTATTTGAAAATATCATTAGAAATCCCTGTTTTTTTCTAAGATTTTCTAAATATATTGATTTTTTATTAAAATTATTGTAAATTCAAAATTGATATTGATGAAAATCTCAAACATTTAGCCAATCCCAACACCCAGGATGGGGTCGTTCGCTATCAGCGGGGGACCAGAAAACGCACTCGATGCTCTGCTAGACGAGCTGCAGACCTTTTCGAAGCCGCTCGCACAGAATAATGAGGTTGGTCGGCACATAATATTAAAAACAACATACATACATAAATATATGTTAAATACAAAATAATCTTTTTCTCTTCGATTTCTCTCTTAGGCACGTCCTGACGATTCCACTTCTGATGAAAGTTCTCAAGCCATACAAAGCACAATCACCACACAAATATCCCAAGCACGTCTATACATCCAAACTACAGACACCACTACCATGCCATTGCAGACACAACCCCTACCTACCACCGCTAGCACCGGCATGGTCAACACTTTGCCACACGCAAAGCTCAACAATCATGTCAACAACGAAAATCCCAACAGTAATGCTGCTGCCTCCCTAATGGTGCACACCAATGTCGGTAGTCTACGACGTTTACACTCATATCCCAGTGGCTCCGACACAGACATATCACCGCCACAGAATGTACGCGCGGTGGCTAATAAACCGCCTGTCCCGGAACGTACAGCCGAACTCATTACGAAGGTGACTAATAAGCGTATACCGCCACCACCACCACCGCGCACCAGTTCGCGCAGTCCACTCGCCAGTCCCACAAACCCAAATGTACCGCAACAATTGCCGACAGTCAGCGAAACGGATGTCTATGTCAGTAAATCCGATTGCAGCGGCGGCGGTGGTAGCGGTAATTCGAGTGGCAACGAATCGGCAAATGATCATGTACAGCGGCAGGTTGCTTTGGAGATGCGTCATCAGGAGTTGTTGAAGAAGCAGAAGCTATTACAAGAACAATATCAACGCTTGCAGCAAATGACCAAGATAACCGGCGTGGAAATGCCGCCCAATGAGAATTGTGCACAGCTACAGCTACAGCTACAGAAGACCGGCAGTGAGTCGAATATACAGCAAAAATCTAGCATACAACACAGCATCAACGCCAACGAAGGCGAGAAGCCAAATGTACAGGATAATGGTATACCGGTCGTTTTGAAAAGTGAGAAAACGAAGCAAATTAGCGGCACGCAAAGCAATGCGGATGCGCTGGGAAATTCTGTTGTTGGTAAGGAAAAGAGCGTGTTGAGCAGCACTGGTGGCGGTGGCGGTGTTTCGACCACCAAACAACTCTACGAGACCGAAATTCTCTAACATAAACCAGTCATAATGGTGGAATGGCAAGAGACCGAAATCGATATTTGAGTAAAGCATAAAAAGCACAAGCATACACGACGCACTGGCGCACAGGTATTACTTGGCACACGCTTGCCGCTGGCAACTGGTAATTGGCAAACATTGTTGTAAGAAGATTTTCAAATTTTCACTACACGCACTAACGCACACACTCACTCAACCAAACAAAAAAAGGCACCGCAGCAAAGCGATAGATGAAGCAACCAGAGCAAACAAAGGGTGCCAAGGTGAAGGCGCAAGAAAATATAGAGTAGGTAGTAGACTTAAAGCCAGTTTCAGCTGATTTTTTTTCAAGTATAAATCGGTATTTATCAAAGAATTTTCATTTCCCGGCGCACACATTCCAAAGTTTCTCATATAAAAATGTCCAAAAATTGGCTTTTTGCTGCACTTCAAACAGCGGCTGTTTGCACAACGCGAACGATGTATGTACATGCAAACATAAATGCTTGTTATGTATGTGTATATATATTGCCAATTACACAAACACTTTTAATAAATCGCACTGAAATTCTAAATAAAAACACGCGCTGAAGAACTCAATTAATATTTTTGCCGAAGCACTTGGCCATAGCAACAGCCAACTTCAAGCAAACATTACAGTGGTGGCGCGAAAGTGGTGTCGTTTAGTGTTCAAAATTAAACAAAAGTGATCGTAAACTGGCAAAAATGAAAAAAATAGTTAAAAATAATTAATTATATTAAAAATATAATTAAAAATTAAATTCTACTCAAATTTCAGCTAAAATTGGCTTTAAGTCAATAATGAAAAAAATTGTATAAAATGAGTGCGACTGATTGATAACTTACCAAAGCAACCATTTTCAATGGTAATATCGCCTGTGCAAGTTTCAACTGCGTCGCGCTGATTATAGGTTATGTTGAATATCAATCCTCATTGAATTGCGTGCGAGTAAAACAAACCACAATGGACGGTGCGTTGAAAAAAGCCGTTATTAAACCGACATAAGCTCACTTGACATGATCGACTTAAGCATAGAAAAACAAAAAGAAAACAAATTAAAAGAAAATAATTAATTCTCAGACTTAAATGTCACACACATACACACACAACATATGTATGAATGTACGTACCACATGTATGTAAAATATAATATATAGGTATGTACATGGATATGCGTAATATGTGTACTGATGATTTAATTTTAATTATTGCAATTTTAATTCCACGCAAACTAACTGTAAAAGTTCAATGTGCGTTGCAAAAACTCATTAGCGATTAACTGGTATTAAAGAAAGCACTTCAAATAAGACTTGAAATAATTTATATATAAGACATTCCCTGCGAGAAAATGTATCACACATTAAGGGTGTTCTTTTAGTCTGGAAAAAAAAGTTTGTTTTTTTTTTGTAGCTAATCTCCGGTGTGGGTAATAGAACTTCGGATTTTGTAGGAACACATTCGAGCGGTTCGTCATCGTTCAGTCGAAAGTTTATAAGCCTGTGCTGGAGTTATTGTGTACAAAACTCTTTTACTTTTTTTATGTATCGTTTTTTTCGGAGCCCGAATAAAACCATTTGCGACATCAAAATGTGTGTCGTACCTTAAAAAAAATGAGCTGCGGAGTGGCGTCAAAAGAAAACAATAAGCGAATCCGCACGCTATCCGCTCTCCAACAGTGTGGAGATCTTCCTCTTGCTCTGCTTCCACTCGTGGTTGCTTTCAAAACTCGGCAGCTTTCCTGCATTCAGACGTCATTACTAAGCCATTTTAGCCGCTGTCTCTTGATACGCTCAACTACAATATATCAATGTCGCTGTGTATCTTGTACAGCTCATTGTTCCAACGGCTGCGGTACTCGCCATTCCCTATATGTTTTCTCTAGCAAACTGGTAACGTCGAGTGTTCAGATCTCCATGCCCTAAAGCAGAACGGGTAGAACGAGCGACTTGTAGAGTTTGGTGTTTGATCGTCGAGAGAGGACTTTGCTAATCAGTCCAAAGTAGCAACTGTTGGCAAGTGTGATGCTGCGTTACAGGATTCAAGGGTGACGGCTTCAAAGTTATGACCGTCAACAGTGATGTGGTAGCCAAATCCCCTGCGCTGACTATTTCTTTGATGACAGGAGATATTTCGTCTTGTGCTCGTCCACTACCAGAATCATGCGCCTTGCTTCCTTGCTTATTCTGTTTCAAGACATCGGCAGACGCCAGCAGCTAATTGTATGCTCTCATTTTCTATGAGATTGAGATTTTACCTGCTCTGCTTAGCTCTGTAGCTCGTATGAGTTTTTGCAGTCGTACAAGTTTTGCGGTGATACCAACTCCAGTTGCTTAGTTGTTCTTTAGGCGGTTGGGTATACTGGTACACCACCTTCGAGGGTTTCACTTTCACTGCAATTCAGCTGGTTGTAGAGGTAAAATCTGTATTCTTTTGGGATCAGTCACCACCGCGATGGGTTCTGTATGAGTATGCATTACCTCGGTCGGTCAGTTTCTCGTTCCCATACTCATATTCAGGAATTTTAGCGCCTCTCTTTTTCAAAATTCAAAATCTTAAACTCTTAATTTAGGCCTTTTCTGTTCAAATTTCTGCTCTTTGAGATTTCGCTTGCTTCGCGAGAGAGTTAGAGAAATTTCTACTGAGTTCCACTACCTTTTTAATGCATCCATGTGTTTAGGCCATAAAATAAATTAATAAAAAGTTAAAAAAAAAAGTTTAAAAAATAAATTCTAAAATTTTTCTGCTTCGAGAAAAGCTTCACATAAGCGTACTGCACGTTAATAGACGAGCTTTGAGCAAGTAGCGAGCTCATTAAATGAATAACTAGAGCTTTAGATTATTTTAAGTCTGGAAACATCACTACACAATCATTTAGCACCGTTATATTCAAATATTATTTAGAATACTAAAAAAAATGTGATGATTTTTCAAATTTTTTTTTTTACCCAGCAGAACACTCACCATTCAGAACATCCTTAGGCAAAAAAATAAAAAAAACACACACACAAGCCTATACACTCATATACATACATATGTATAGGCGAGAACAAATAAGTGTGTGTGTGTGTATTAAATTTTGACTTAGCTATAGTAGATAAACATACATATGTATAAGCTGTTGTAAACGTAGTCTAGGATATATAACGTACCGTAAGGCTTTAGATTTAGTACAGTAACAGTATAAACCAAAACACACACATACATATAAACATAGGTACATACCGACCCGAGTTTGGCCTAAAATAAATGAAAAAAAAATGTATTTATTATTAATATTAAATATTAAAATAAATATAACGACACACAAACAAAAAAAACATCCATACATTTGTATTGTAGTGCATACATATACAAAATGTATATGTTTAGTCGGAAGGGTGGGGAGGGGCCATAGGTCAAAGTGAAACGAAATTTTTGGAACGAACGAACGAAAAATAGATATTATATCTGCTTACATACATACATATATAAATGAAATTTTGAAGGCACATACATACATACATGCATGCACACACATAACATGTATGTATGTATGTATTTTGCCAAGTTGTTATTTAGTTAATATTTTAAAGCAACGCTAGTTATAAATGGTTAACTATTTAAATTAAATTAAATTAAATTAAATTAAATTAAATTATTTGCACATATACATACACATACATACATACGAGTATACAAACATTTTATTATTATAACGAATGGAATGGTTCTACTACAAAGTCCCCCAAAGTTACTCCAACTGCATATTTAGCAAATAAATACTATTGTACTACATAAATACATACGAACATAAATAAATATTTAGTGTAATTGAAAGCTCAAGAGAAATCAAGTCTAGTGTATGTATGTATGTATGTATGTATGACTATGAAATGTTATTTGTTGTAATGCACTTGAATTTCACGATTTTATTATAAAAAAAAACGGCAAAAAAATGCATTAATAAAAATAAATAAATTATTAAAGAGTAACGTAAGATTTTTTAAAAATACCATATACGAGTACACACATATAAATACATACATACATATGCATAAGCATACATTGAATTTGTTTTTTGTTGAATGTTCACAAAATATTAGTAATAATTAAATGCAGATACATACACACATACACACATATATGTAGTATGTACTATGTATGTATGTACAATACATACATAGTTATTGGTAATGGCTTTTGCGCTTTTTGTTAGACAAATAGTCATAATAAATACATATACATATATATATACATATACATATAACTAATCCTATAGCATTGATATATATATATACATACATATGTAAGTGTATGTATGCATGTAGTATTGTGTGTATGAATGGATGTTCACGCGTGTACGTGTAAAGCAAGAAATAGAAAGAAATAAAATATAAATAAATTATTTAAATAAATAAAAAAGTTAAAAAACTAAAAAAAATAATAAATAAAAAATAATAATAAATTTAAAGAAAATTAAATAATTAATTAAAAAAAATGTAAAAAATATATAATTAATTGATTCCATATTTAATTAAATAAAACGAATAAATGTATGCAAAAAATGCTAGCTAAAAGAAAAACGAAGAGAACGAAATAGTAGTAGTAACAAAGTAAAATCTCTTGTTCTAAAGCACAAGTATAAACACACACACACACATGCATATATAAATATCAATAAATATGCCTGCAGAGCAGAGTTTGAAAATAATTGTTAGTAATTAGACTTAAAAAAAAAAATTTAAAATATTATTTGATTATTATTTATTATTTTATTTGAGAAAATCTATTTAACCATTTTTTTTTATTTGAGAAAAAATTTTTAACAACATTATTTATTTATTTATATTAGAAATAAAATTTAATGTTCTTTAATAATTTTATTTTTATATTTATTTATATTAGAAATAAAACTTAATATATTCTTTTTTATGTGGGAAAAAAAATTTAATAATTTAATTTATTTATTTATTTATATTAGAAATAAAATTTAATATTCTTTTTTATGTGGGAAAAAAATTTTAATAATTTTATTTTTATATTTATTTAAGTCAGAAATAAAATTTAATAATTTTTTTTATTTGAGAAGAATTTTTTTTCCTTCAGACAAAATACTATTTTCTTTATTAAATTGAGAAAAAAACATCTAATCACTTTTATTAATTTATTTTTAAAGACAAACTATTTTATATTATTTTAATTCATTTTTTTGTTTTTATATTTTTTTTATTTGAGGCAAAATTAATTAAATTATAATGAAAGGCCAATAAGATTAAATAAAATGTTATAAAATAAAAAATCAAAATAAAAGAACCAAAAAAAAGATAAATAAAATAAAAAATAAAGCATAAAAATAATAAGTTAAATTAAATATTAGAACTAAATAAAAGCAATTAAATTATATGAGTGAAACTTAATAAAATAATAAAATAAAAAGATATAAAATAAAAAAAAATAATGTGAAATAAAATTTAAAAAATATAAAGGAAATAAGAATTAAAATAAAATGAAACAAAATTTAATAAATTTAAAACATCATATAAAATAATTTTAATTTAACTACATAAAAAAATAAAATGAGGCTAAATTAATATAAAAGTCAATAAGATGAAAGAACAAAGTATAAAAAAATCAAAATATAGAAGGTAAAAAAAATTAAAATAAAAAATAGTGTATGAAAATAATAAGTTAAATTAAATATTAGAATTAAATAAAAAACA